TTTAATACTCATAAATTGATTTTCAGTCTGACCAGGGAACTGTGATCCTGTTTCTTATCACGCCTATCAAAATTATAAATCTATTTAACCTTTTTCTTCTAAACTCCTATTAACTACACAGTATGCACTGCATAGATAATATAACACAGGACGAAATGGAAAATAAGGTCTTCATCCATTCCTAATCTAATGGTAGCAAATTGCTGATAGCTAATGAAAATACCAGAAGGTAATCATTTTCTCTTTTGAATAAAGGAGAGTTTTACAGCTTGACTGCAACTGTCTGTGAATTTCAAGCTCCATTTATTGAAACCAACATGTAAACAGTATATCTGACTCTTTTGGAATCACTACCCAAAATTGTTTGGAGACTATTGCACAAATTTACATGCATCTTTACCTTCTCATAATGATTATCTTCCATCATACTTTATAACAAAACAAATATTCTGGATACAATTAAGGCAGAATAAAATTGATTTATAAAGGACTTTCCCTGATGTTACTGGCAATTAACATTTAAATAAAGATCTAAATTATCCATAGAACAAAATTGAGAAAAACAATTACATTTAATTAAATTTATAACTCACAATGATTAAAATAGAAACTTAAAAATGATTAGCTACTAATTTCATTTTTAGAGATCAAAAGACAATTTCAATATTTTTATTTTTCTGTCTCTATATATGTGTGTCTATATGTGTGTGTGTGTGTGTGTGTGTGTGTNTTTTTTTTTTTTTTGAAGGTTTATCAGTTTTTTATGGCTGAATAATATTCCATTGTATAGATGCTCCACATTTTATTCATTCATCAATTGATCGACATTTGGGTTGTTTCCAGTTTTTGCTTTTATGAATAATACTGTATTAAACATTCATGTACAAAAAAAAAAGGAAGCAGGGAAATAGATTCTACCTATTGGTGGGAGAAAATGCAAAGTCATGTGACAAAGGGCATGAGTACAGGAAAGGTTGAAGATATTAATGCAATCAATTATATGACATAATTTTTATGATAATAATTAAAATTAATAATGATGACTATCATGTATTAAGTACTTGAACCCCAGTCTTTTTGGGACAATATTAAATCAGCGAGCTTTCTGTATTAATGCTGAAAAAAACGTTCAGCTCAACATGAGCTTCTTAAAACTGTTCACATTCCAGAAGCAACCTATTCTTCTTAGGCATCTTAGAGGAACCTGTGAAAAGACCAGGCCAACACCTCCCTAAAGATGGCCTAGCAATAGTTCTGCCTGAAACTGAACACACTACACAGTTTAATACTCATAAATTGATTTTCAGTCTGACCAGGGAACTGTGATCCTGTTTCTTATCAC